ACAGTGGAAAAAGACTTAAGGCCGGGTTGCACCAACTTACTTTAACAAACGTCAAAAATCTGTCAAACCCCATACAAAAAACATCGGTTATCGTCATAGTTACGGTCAAAGTGGAACAGGTGGAGTAAAGAGAAAGATAAAGACGGAATATTCAAACTTTATATTTGGTTTAAGAAATGCAAAACGTTTTTACAGATTGAACGCATTTTTATGATCTTTTCTTATGCTTATTTACTGCTCAGCATTAGCCAAACATTTACTAAAGTTTTAGCTCTGTTATCTTCTTATTTTATTGTTACTTTAAAGCTTTTAGCACTATTTAGATAAATAAAAAAAATATTTTATTACTTTAGGTCATAATTTGGCCATAAAACCACGAGCCGTATGATTATATTCATTTGTGCGTTAGTAGGTCCTGTATATTCATTAGAAAATTTATGTCGAACGTGTCACGTTATTGACATGAATAAACAGTGGAAAAAAACTTAAGGCCGGAATTTAATAAACGGAACTTAATTGTGGAAAACAACTTAAGCACCAACTTACTTTAACAAACGTCAAAAATCTGTCAAACCCCATACAAAAAACATCGGTTATCGTCATAGTTACGGTCAAAGTTAGGTGGTGCAACTCAGCCTAAGAGAACAGGTGGAGTAAAGAGAAAGATAAAGACGGAATATTCAAACTTTATATTTGGTTTATGAAATGCAAAACGTGTTCCAAAAAATGATACACCTCATACACAAAAAAAATACAGTACAATCGGTTGTTGTGTGAGTCAAGAAGTTCCGTAGAACATTCCTTCTTCCCTTTCGGTCGTTTGCACTATTTTAAAAGGCATCTGAAAAAAAAAACAAATAAGCTGATTTATGACTTAATAGAGAAGTAGTTACCTGAATTCTAAATAATTACCCGTATAACGCATACCCTTAAAAAAACGACTACAGCAACACTACTAACTAGTTACAAAAAGTTCCTTTAAATTATTACTATTACAATGAGCGAAAAATAAGATAGGTAGCTATATCGTGTTTCATTACAAATTACATTTGTAGTGATAATGATTTTATACTTAACACTTGTCAAACTAGGTACCTACCTAATTGGAGACAGATAAAATTGAAAGACGTGGAGTAGGGGATCATGACGTGATTAAAGGATTCTAAATTATTGTTTCGGTACCCTGATTAACACTAAAGCAATCCATTTTTATGACGTTTAAACCTAATGAACATTATAACATACCTAAAAAGTGTTACAGTAATGCTAAAGATATCACTTAGATATTTTATATGTAGGTTGAATGACTTAACCATTTTCTTTTTACTATAATAAGACTGACAACATTAAAAGACACTAGTTGAAAGTTTAAAACATTAATATTATCTGACGCCATTTGCTTTCTGTTTTCTCTAACATAGAAAATAAAATTATAATACACATATGCATGAAATACTACTTATTATCCTTTTCTTACAAGCGGAGTATCGATAGAAGCAATTTTATAAGTTAAAATTAATCAAATCGTTAAAAAAATCACAAAAAGTGTCATATGTCGATTCTAAATTTGTCCCTATTTTATTAAAAAAAGGATTTCTGTGAGGGCGCGTGAATTATAAACCACAAACATATATATATTTTCACATAAGACTAATACTCCCAGCTCATTTTCATTCTTGAAACAAAAAAATATGATACTTACCTTATGATAAATTATTTTAAATAAAGACATTAAAACATCTCCTCACAACACCATTGCACTGCAATACTCTAAACGAAAAATAATCAAATCGGACAATAAAATGCGATAAGTTTTTTCGAATACTTTCAAACAAACAAAATAAAACGTTCAGCCTTAGAATAAAACGTAACTTTGGCATTGTAATTCTGAAAGCTGTTTCAAAGCTGTACTAACATCTAATAAAATGCTTTTTACATTAGAATATGCTGTCTAACAACTTTACTAATGTCTGTCTTCAATAACATTATAAGCGCTGGTTAGCAGCACTAATAATATTTAATAATGCTCAAAGCCGTATTATTTGGGGCCCAAATTGCGCTTACAAGACACTTATAGACTTTTATACGGCTGATATGGTGCTACATATGCTGCTCATATACTGCTCTGCACGTAGGTTCATGCTGTTGTACGCTTCTTATAATTGTGTTTTGTGTTACTTGGGCGTGACAGTAAGGCTGGGTTGCACCATTCCACTTTAACTTTGACAAACGTCAAAAACCTGTCAAACCCCATATAAAAAGCACCGAAATTCCCAGAACGCATTTTACAAAGGACAGAAAGTGATTTTCAGATAATTTTCAAGATAACCAGTATAACTTTACTGTTTGAAGATCAAAAGCTCTTGTTATACTCATTTTATTTAAATCGTAACTTAAAAAAGAACATGCAGGAACAGCAAAAAAAATAAAGAGCAGATTATTTACTAACTAATAAAAGGTACTTTATTTTTTACTTTACTATTTTTATATTAAAAACGTCTCTTACCTAAGAACTCGTTTTAAATCCAATCTTTTAACATGCAGGAGGTATTTTTTTGCTCGTCGTCAATCTATGAGATCTAGCCACAAAGCGAGTGCATTTGCAAAGTGAAAGCTGGATCTAGATTTTAATACCCCACAGGAAAGTAATGGAACGGGTTTACATTTTAAAAGAGAATGTGATGAAGAACTCTTCAAATAAAAGATACTTTATGCTATGTTTGACTTGAATTTATTTTCGATTTTTTTTAAATTATTTATTTCACCAACTTAAACTAACCTAATGCGATAGAATAAATTATTTTTAGGCAGGTACACTGTATCTACTTACAGTAACTACTTATAACTAACAATAAAAAGCGCGGCTCTTACGAATTCACTCAGAGAACAATGAGGGCTATCGTTTTAGCGCTCACCGGTTAGCGCCACTGTAGAGTAAGGTCCTGTCAATCGCCAGGGGTGCCAACTGTTAAGTATAAAAACGATAGCCCCCATTAAACGGGTCTACTACTTCCGATATTTCATTGAAACGTCTTGTGGCGCGAGTGAGCTGCGCTTCTGCCAGCATTTAAAAAAGGAATCATATAATTTTACTATTAATTTCATTATTTACGTATTGGAAAAACATTAATACTCTTTATCTTAACGAGTACCAGAAAATGTAAGTATTTGTTAAACTCGTAAGAGCTATTTTGCGACAAAAATTTAGCCTAGGCGCAGACCATCGATTTTTCGTCGGCCGATAGTTTAGTCGGGTAGTTAATCAGTATGGGCATGTATGGAAGTGCGCACATTACATCGATTCGATTTTGCCGATTCTTCATAAAATTTAAAATCGGGCACAACTATCGGCCAACTAAAAATCGGTGGTCTGCGCCTAGTATAAATGTCTGATATTCTGTCAACTTTACAATCTTTGAAAGCCTTTATATCTTTCTTATTAACAAGTAAGTAGGCAGGTACATACAGATACAATAGATCTAATCAACACGTTTTTCGTGTTCGCGGATGTTCGCAGGTTGCGCACGCGCACAATAAAAGGGAAATTGCAAATTATGTAATTTATTACTGACAGATTTCTTATGAGGGAATTACAAAGTTATTCAAAAGATTTCTAGATAAAAACCCGGCGGGCATAACTGACTTTGTATAAAGTGGTTTGTTTGCATTAATATGTTAAAAAATAGAATTAACCTGTTAGTCCTCATTATTTTAAAGTGACTTTCGATAGACGTATATGGCGACTTTGATAGTTCACGACACTTTGACCACAGCTACAAACTTTGAATTGCCATACTAAAGTAGCTTTTGGACAGAAAAGTTTTCGAGTGGCGACGACAGGCTGGAAAATATTTGCTTTGTTCCACTCGGGGGACCGACGATTTGGTGAAGGTAGCGGGAAGCACCTGGAGGAGAGCAACGCTGGGCTGGTCAAAGAAATCCTTGGGGACGGTCTTCAACAAGTAAGGAACCACTTTAAATTACAAATGAAGTGAACAAAAAATAGAGAAATCTTATTAATTTCCATAATAGCATGCAAATTAATGAAACAAGCGTAACTTAACCGCGTTCGTTTTCAAGAGCACGAGGACACTTGGACAAACAATTTGAAGACCATTGTTTTGTACAATAAACAATCATCAATACGGAAACTGAACATTTGGACTTGGGCAAAGTTTATAAAATAGATGATACAGATCACTAAAAACCAAAAAAAAAATGGGTAGTTAAATTTTTTTGTCTCGGATCTGTTCGCCCAGTAAGTTCGCCCCTCATACTAATATGATTCTTAATAACCCATTTCATTTTAAGGCAAAGGGGTGAAAGAGGGTCCCATGCCCGTTTTCACCATCACTTATTTTTAAGTGACCCCTATGAAAACAAAATTCCCGTTATGTGCTAAGTATCATAGGGGTCACTTAAAGATTAGGAATTGATGGTGAAAACGGGCAGAGACCCATTTTTATTATTTTATCCATTACACAATATCACATCACGGTATCTATCGTTACTAACATAAGTGAGTTCTTGTGGACTATTTAATTACTTAACTATTTATATTTAAATATCACGATCGCTTAAAGATTCGGTACAATACTTTACTACAGCTCTATCGCATGTAACTGTACCTAATAATAAATTCATAACTATTTATAGATATTATGCCAGTTTAACAAATGGGCGTTATGTAAAAGAGAAAATAAAAAAATATCCGACGCGTGAATTTTTTTTTAAATTATTATAAAAGTTATAATGTCAATAACACTTATTATAAAATAATCTATATTCATACAATTAACTTTACAAGTGATTTGGTATTTAATCCGTTGTTAGGTGTTGTTTATATCAAACTTCCGTACATTTTCCTTATTAAAACAATAATTAAAACACAATCAGTTGAAGTGGAGTTCTTTGCAAATAAAATATTTCAGTCGCTCGACACACACGGCAATAAACGTACCGCGTACCTTTTGCTATATTTAATTTTGAAGTTTTCCTAAGTCGCAAGTGTCTGTGGTGATATTATTTTTCATTCGGAATGACGTGCGTGCGATTTACTTCAGTTAGTCTAAAATATTTCTGATGAAAATTGGTGTAAAATGAGGTTTTGTTCAAGTGTTTCGGTTTTACTGTGCGTGGCCCTGTGTAGTGCCAGGGAATTTTATGATAAGCTGGGTAAGTTTATGATCTACTTTATGTTAGAATAACAAAATAAAAATCGAAATAATGTAATTGGGAAAATTCATGGTAATTTTGCAAGTAGTTGCCAGGAGCGACTCAGAATTTGAAAAAAATAATTTTAAGTTACTAAAATTATTTTTTCAAGTTATTTTTATCCGCTCCGCATGGTTTCAAAATTGCCACTTTACTTCGTTCTTGGAAAATTACGTACACACAGTTAACTCCAAAGCTTAATAGGCAGTATGGTGCGTGAAAATAACCCTCAGCCTTTAAAAGTTACGATATTATTATGGGCATCCGCGAATTGTAAATGAGCTCAAGTAAAGCGTTCAAGTCATTTTATTCTGCAAGAAGCAACCACAAAATCAAGTCCTTAGCTCCAAACACTATTTATTGTACCTAATATCTAGGTAATTCCTAAAGACCATTCACCGTGAAATGTAACCAGGCAAGCCGATTGAAGAGTCGGTGAGCACGTCAAGTATTCATCCGATGTGACGCGTCATTCCCATGCATATTTCAGACTCCCCAGACGACAATTTGGTCCCAGGAAAAAATAGAAGCAGATATTAGATATTTCAGCTTCAAGGAAAAACTGAAAATAAAAGGCTTATTTTAATGACGATTTTTCCGGATGACCGCGAAAAACTGGTTCCTTGAAATTACGCAATTAAGTACCTACGTGCTTTTATTATAACTTTAAATTAAGTTTTTAATGTCAGTTCATTATACAAATCTAAAAGAGAAAAACAATTACCAAGAGAAAAACATTATTACTATAAGCAATAATATACCTACAGTGTGTCCGGTTCAAGTGTTTTTAAGAGATTTAAATGGGAGTTTTTGGAAAACTTTTTTAGCTGTCGAATGAATCCACTCGGACTCATAAAGTAAAAAAAAAATATAGCTGTAATTTTTTAATTATAGGGATAAAATGTTTTATTCCAGTGGATTTGTCGACAAAATTGATCATATTACTGCGCCCTAATGGGTCGGACACGGGTGACCGGACACACTGTATAAGTTTCTGCTTCTTCTCAGAACTGGCCCATTTTTATCCCAAAGCAGTGGTAGGCTTAAAGTAATACTGGGAGTGTAATCGTGCCTTTTAATAGCTTATTCGCACAAAATACCATCATTTTTATGACAATATACTTTTACATATTGCTGCAAACTCCAAATATTCCAAAAGTGTGGTAACATTACACTTCTATGTCATTTCGTTCCCTATTAGACCTTATCGAGTATTCTTTGGCCATAAATATTTATGTTATGGCGCGAAGTAATAATATTTCATCCACCCCTTTTGTTGAATGCAGACTTTTTCAGGATTGTATGGGATTTCGATTGCGATTTAAAATTCAATGGCAAACTCAGACGGGTCAGTGCCTCTAGTATGAGAGTTGTTACGATAAAATATTGGGCAGATAATTTTTCATGGACTCGTTAAGCACGAGAACTCTACCATGAACCGGTCGAGCTAACTGCACACGAGCTAGCATGAAACGTAACTAACCTTCAAGTGAGTACGGCACGTCCACGGTCATCACGTATCTGGCTGCGAGCTCCTGGATCCTACTGCGAGCCGCCTTTGTGCTCGCAGTGATACCGCCACTCGGCGGGTCGCTGCGATCTCCCTGCGAACCACGCGCGAGCAGCTCGCAGCGGGCTCGTGCCTAACTCACTTGATACAGTATCTGATACATTACATGCTACACGGCTATCTAGCCGAGTACCCTGCTGTAGCGAACGCGGGTAGGTGCGCGAGTAAGTGTGAGGGAGAATCGCATTCCAGCCAGGTGCGCAATTAGCATTAGCTCAATCAGACTGTACCCTCTATTTGTTAGTATGGCGCTGTCTACAGCGACGTGTGAAATGTCCAAATATTTACTAAATTTTTGTCATTTAATTGTTATCTTGAAATCATACAATACCTCATCAGTAATGGCAAAGAATAAAGCAATTATTTGTACAAGTTTGCATAAAGAATACATACCATACGATGATTGTAGGCACATAAAATTCACAGACATTTAATAAATACGAGTATTATGTAAAATTAAAAGCTCGTTTGGTCATACAATTCGTCCCCGGCTAGACTCAAACCGCAACCGCGGGCTTTGTGGTACGGTGCGCGACCACCGGTCAAGCGGCAAGTCAATCTTTATTAAACCAACTGCTGCGGTTATTCGGTTTTGGATCCGGGAGAAAAATAAACGTTCTATATCAATTACTGATGATGACATCTCATCAATCATTTGAAATTAATAAAATTCAATTTTGAATGTCTGAACTCTAGTAGAGTTAAGATATTAAAATTTAATTAATAATTTCTGTTGAAAAGAAAAAACAAATGATAGATGAAAAAGAATAATATTAAAAAGAAGTTTCTCGCCGGCCAGTCGCGGTCAAGGAGTTTGGCCGTGTGGTTGTGGTCTTTACAATTTACTTCAATGAGGGCTATCGTTCTTATACTTAACAGTTGGCACCCCTGGCGATTGACAGGACCTTACTCTACAGTGGCGCCATCTTGATGAGTGCAAATGCGATAGTCCTCCTACCACTTTCGCGCTCACCAGTTGGTGCCACTGTCTTCGCTACTAGCAAGTGACAGGACCTTACTCTACAGTGGCGCTAACTGGTGAGCGCTAAAACGATAGCCCTCATTCTATGCCATCAGATCAGATAGATCTAAAAACTAAATAATAAGAAGGAGAAAGAAGATTGTCAATAAGATTGCGTTGTTTATAATTTTCAATTTAGAATCCAATAGCATACCGACGCCTTAGAGTGAAAATCTCTTAAGTGTAAAAGTAATTGTTCAGGATGAAGATGAAGGCGTCTTTTATGTTTTTTTGTTAATTTAACAAGTAAATTTAATCCGCTTTTATATCCAGCAGAACTGTCATATTCTGTAAGATTGGCCGAAATGCATAAAATGTATAAAATAATATGAGAAAACATGCATTCCCGAGGTTTTTATTACAACCTTAACTTTTCTTTGTCTCTCCCAGACCGCTACCTCATAGCCTGTCACTCTACCGACTTCGTCTGCTTCAAGAAGCAGTACCAGTCCCTACGGGACAACTTCCTGCTGGGCAGCCCACAGCTGGGCCTGGCGGATTACGAGCCTTACTACTTCCGGTATGGCGACAGCGGAACCTGCATCAAGTTGTCTGGACTGGAGGAGAGCCGGTTGGTTGGCATTGGGTAAGTTAAAGTTAAAAAAATCCATTAACTTCACCATTTAAAAAAACTGTTATTAACCCCCTCGAAGCATAGTTTTGAACCGCATGGAATGTGCAATTCTGACGTCTAAAAAGTGTCAATTCTTTGTGTAATAGAGATAGGTACTAACTCTTTCAAAGTCAAAGTCAAAGTCAAAATTTCTTTATTTGTTTGGACTAATAAATAGTTCTTACAAATCGTCATTTTGCTCTTAAGGAGCCTCTACATGTCTCATAATCTTTTTACCCTACCAGCGCTTCGAGACCAACATTTGGCAAGTGCTGAGAAGAAGCGCCGCAACAAACTCAGTCACCACTGTCTGCCGGTTAATATAAATAAATAGAAATAGTAGTAGTAGGTACATTCGATTCAGGAGCAGTTCTCTGAATTTACCATGCATTCTTGTATGGTGTATCTTATAAGAATGGGTGTACAAGATTGCGTGGTATATTAAACAAGGTAGTCACGTGCTAATATCTAGACTTACATATTAAGATACTAGTAGAAATGACTCGCATACATAAATTTGAATAACTTGGATTGACCAGTCCCCGAAAGCAGCGCCTGTTCACAGACATGACGAGTGAACCAGCCATCGCTTCACTCGACCATATTAGAGGGAATGTAACGACCCGCCTCACTACTTTCTATATCGTTGATATTATGAGCAAACACTTTTTCAGCATTTTTTCTCAACATTTATTAATTTAACGAATGTAGGTACTATATTATATTCTAATGTGTCTTTTCTTAAGTAACGACTTCAATTATTTTTACTTTATTGTATACCTTTACCAAAAAGAAAGGATTAATCCAGGAGGAAGATAAATTGAACCACAAGTAATCAGCGTTAGCAAGCGAATCGATTGAAACCGCTCGAAGTGCATTTCCAAACATTAACACTTCAATCGCTGTAGAGCAGCACTCACTAGTGTGGTTTGTTTATTTTTACTTATCGATAATCCATTATGCTCTGGCATGGAAACTCGATAGTCTTATTCAAATTCTTTATTTGCATAAGAATAAGGTACTTTTAAATCCTATATGAAATGGTATTTTATCAAAAGTGCAGTCCTATTTAGCCAATGTCAGTTAGCATGCAAATTATAAATTTTATTGTAAGTTTAATAAATGTTTTACAGTATGAGTCTTCCGGTGACTTGGTTCACTTTTTTTAAGTTTATTTAAATTATTTTTTCTCTTTAAACTTGTACTTTATTTAATTCTTCTATGACATATCATGTCACTGAGAAACACAACAAATGGTACTAAGTTTGAGACATTCATTTGAGCTTAACATTTCATATAAGTTTTTGTGCTATTCTTTTTATAAACTACTGATGTCTACGTGACTTCTATCAGTATGATATCTATCAGATGTTATCTACTTACTTTTATCACACCTACACATACTTCAAAGTTCCAGCAAAGATATTTCAGCTCTCTACGATTGTTTTGTAACAACAACTATCGACACTTTGGCGTCACTCGGAGGAACTCCACTCTGGAAGTTTCCAGACAGGTGTAACCAAACTTAGCACTCACTTGGAATCTTTGGAACACGAGCAGTTTACGGTTAACAGAAACTAACAGTTTGTGGAGAATCCCGCAGACTGGTTTATTATATTACATACTTTAGCGTTGGTTTATGCTCGAAGTACTGTTATTTTGTTGAATAAGTGAATAATGTACTGAGGTTGGAATTTCTGAGCTTTATAATTACGAATGCATTTGTCTATGTGTAGGTAACTATTACCACAGAATAATAACAAGTACTATATTACACTAAAATCATTTAATAGACTTCAATTCTCCAGTGTCTTCGTTTGTAACGTATTCGATTTTTTTTAACCGCCTCTGTGGTCTAGTGGTAAGACCACCTGCTTCAGACGCAGAGGTCCCGGGTTCGATTCCCAGTGGGGCAGATTTTTCTGTTCGGTTTGGTTGGTGGTAGGGCTTGTTCTAAGTCCGCCTGGCTAGCTACCACCATCTCTAAGTCTGTCGCCATAACAACAATGTTAACAGCATTGTTGTGTTCCGGCAGTTAGAGTTAAGATAGCCAGTTCCTCCGTGGTTGAGGATTCCGGGTGAAGCTCGCTTCCACCTTCGGCCTGATCATCATTTACCATCAGGTGAGATACAGGCCAAAAGCTTCCTCGTTGTGGATAAAAAAAAATGATAGTAATTTAATTAAAATATGGTGAATCTGAATGCCATACTTCTACTGCTTCCTTCGGCATTACAATACAGAGGTAAAATACAGTAGTATTTTAGCCTCTAGAATGACAAGACCTTACTCTACAGTAGCGCTTACTAGTGAGCCTTTTCAGCTTGTAGAACATTATAATTACTATCCTGAATCACTTTTTCGTGTATAATATTAATTCCAGTACAATAAATATGAATATTTAATTGTTTCAGAATTGACAGTGACACGAATTTATACACATTAATTTTGGAGCTGCCATTGAAAATACAACAAGTGAGGAATGACACGCAACCGTGCTCCGACCCAGCTCACGGTATGTGTTGGTTATTTTAATCAATACTAATATTATAAAGCTGAAGAGTTTGTTTGTTTACTTGAACGCGCTAATCTCAAGAACTACCGGTCCGATTTGAAAAATTCTTTCAGTGTTAGATAGCCCATTTATTGAGGAAGGCTATAGGCTATATACCATCACGCTACGAGTAATAGGTGCAGAGCAAAAATGTTGCGAAAACGGGTTTTCACGCGTAAGAAGTCGCGGGCACAGCTAGTAAGTTATACAACTAGTATATTATTAAACATTAAAACTGCAGTTATATTGCTAATTTTGTGGGAATACATGAATATTAGTTAGTCCTTCACTCAAAATTACTGGATACTTTCGAATTATTCCTACTTATTTATAGTGCGGTCAGTCTGTGTAATAAAGTCATGTATTTTTATACTCTCGGCTAGCATTTTAATTTAAGAAAACCCCTTTAATATAATTTTATTATTTCTACAGCATTTTCCGGTATTGGAGAGCAAGATGGTAAGTGTCACAATACCTATTGAGATTTAACTCTGTTTGTATACTCGTAGTTCAAACTTAAGTATTATTAATATAAAAAGTGACGTATAAAAACAGATACACATAAAACAAATACTGTTGTCGAGTAATCAATGCGTTATTCAATCATATCAATATGTAAACACACTAAAATTTAAACATCGTTTATACCTAGGCTATTTTATTATTTCAGGTCCATTGAAGAAGTTCACTGGAAACGGTGAGTAATGAATTATTTATTTCAGTAATAATATTAAACGCTTACCTAATTTGTTTTTTAATTCAACTTGTAAAAATATTCATTTTTTTTACTCTATTGGTCAGAATTTTTATGAATTTATTTTTATGAAAGCGTGCATATTAATTATTTTTTTAAGTTTTTACAACCAATATTTATTTTTAGCACAGTAGAGTTTATTTTAGATGAGCCAAGTTGCAACATTTTAAATAATAAAAGAGTTTAAATAATAATATACTTTTTACCAATCCTCTATGATTTTTTATAAATACTTATTTTTAGAGAAATAACTCTTATTAATTATACCATTATACAGAAATTCGGACCATATTCGCTCGACTTTCTCATTTCCAAGTAATACATTATTATTGCCACTTAGGATTGTAATTCTAATTTCGTTCTCTAATAGCCTATTTAGTTACTTTCCGACCACTCTAATAATGTGAATAGAAACGTTAATGGACTCTTTAACGATTTAATTTTCGTTTGATCTATGGACGTCGGCACGTTTAAATAAATACTGTGGCTTCTTATGTAGTTGTAATAAAAGCGATTTTTACAACAAAACTGTATTATTATGATGAGCTGTACTTAATGAGATTCACAAATATTCAGTTGTCTCCCAGCTTGACGACATAATATAGCGCGAAATAGTTATTTTAACAAATTATCAAAGATAAAACACGCACTTAAAACTATCCTATTTTCCAAAGAGCCTTGTATTTACCTAGAATTTACTTTGAAAGGTGTTTGTTAGATCGATTCAATTTTGAAAGTGACCTACGTCTACCACAAAGTTTTTATCAATAGCTTTATAAACCAAACTTAAAAGTTTCTAATGCAAAACAAAGCTTACTTTTCAGAAATCATACTACATTATTATCATAATATTATATTTCACTGTAATAATCCTCAGCCATTAGAAAGCGTTTTTGTTTATCCTGTCCTTTGAAATCTTTTCAGAGCTTCCACAAAGCGATATCAATCATCCCGCGAAGCTTTATGCTCGGAGCTTCCAAAGTTCGGACGACGAGCTTAGTTATTTTGCCGTAGTGTTGACGGCCACACCATCAATTTGACTTTGGGTCCAAGTTTTGCAAAATTGTTTGTGAACCAGTATTCAATCTTCAACCATATTTATGCTCGGATGGGGGACGGTTTTTAATCTTAAAGCTCTAGTAGAGTTAGACAGATAAATTACCTATATGAATTCTACATAAAACTGTCAATCACAAGCATTCTTTTCGTAGTCTTTTCTTGCTAGGAAACCATACTTTCTATAAAAATTGGGAAAACGATTTTTTATAAATTAAAAGCAAATAACAATGGTAGGCGTCAAATGTTACTAAGTACTAGACGCTTAGGTTGGGTTGCATTGCACCATCTTACTTTAACTTTGACAAACGTCAAAAATCTGTCAAACTCCATACAAAAAATACTTGTTATCGTTATAGTTACGGTCAAAGTTAGGTGGTGCAACTTAGATTTTCTACGCACCGATTTAACATGTTACTATGGCTCATTATTACTGCTAGTGTAATGCGAATTTATTAATAAATTGTTCCTTAATCGTAACCAATATCAATCTACATTGGCATATTGGCTCCAACATATCATATTGGTTCAAGCATTACCCTAATCCTCAACTGCATAATAGTACAATACCCACTAGATCCAGCCCTTGGCCGCCACAAAGCACCGCAATACTCAACAATGGAACTCGAGCTATGGCGTAATTAGCGATGCATTCAGCCGAGGGTTGGGGATGAGGATGAGAAATCATACAAGATAGCTGGGCAGATGACATAGTTTTCAATCTATACTAATATTATAAAGCTGAAGAGTTTGTTTGTTTGTTTACTTGAACGCGCTAGTCTCCGGAACTACTGGTCCGATTTGAAAAATTCTTTCAGTGTTAGATAGCCCATTTATCGAGGAAGGCTATAGGCTATACAACATCAATAGGAGCAGAACAATAATGAAAAATGTTGTGAAAACGGGTTTTCTCGCGTACGAAGTCGCGGGCACAGCTAATCCCTAATTTGACATGTAGTTGTAATCCCCTATTACAACTATTTGCAACAAAATTGTATAGTCCGCTGTTTTATATACAACTTGAATCTTGCTGCTCAATGTACACACACCGGCAGATTTAGCGGAACGCAAAAAAAAGTATGAAAATAAGGAAAATTACTACTGATCTATGAAATATTTATTATACAAAATAAAGAGATAATTAAAATAAAATAAAATAACATATATTTTTTAAATATTTAGTCGTTTTTATTTAATAAAAAATCATCGAAACGAAATTTCAATTTTTCAGTTTTGAACAAAAATTAGAAATTGTGGCCAGATTAAAAATTAGGGTAGCTTATCACTATCCAAATGAATGAATTAATGATGGGTATTTCCCCCTCTTGCTCTGATGATGGTTTCCATTCATCTGAGCATGCTGCAGTTAATGATATGAAGGGTATTTTGGGGCAATGTCTGCCATTCCTCTAGTAACGCGTTTCTCAACACCACCGGTGGTATTCTGAGTTTAACACATCTTTTAAGAAAGTCCAAGACATGCTCTATAGGATTCTTGTCTAGGGATCTTGCCAGCCACTGCATCATGGGTATATCCAAATGGTTTAGATGTGCCTGTACTGAGCGAGCACTGTGAAAACGAACATTATCGTGAATTAAACTAAAGGAGTCCACAATAAATGGAGTAAATGGCACATCATGTTCTTCTAAAATGTTCCTAGTGTACCATTCAGAAGTCGTATTTCCTCCATCACCCACCACTAACTCCGTGCGAGCTCCCAAAAAAATCCTTCCCCACACCAGAATTAAGCTACCTCCATAAACCACGATATTTTCAAAATTAAGACTAAATGTTACGTTCTCTTTGTGTCTCCATATTCGCTATCTTCCATCGATCTGGTTTAAGAGAACTCTGCACTCATAAGTGAAGAGATCATGCCTCCAGTCGTTCAAGACCCAATCACGATATTCACGTGAAAAGTTCAATATGTTTTTTCGGTGCTGTGTCACAAGTTGGAGCTTTCTCGGGTATGCACGACCCTATACCAACTTCAGTAAATCTCCTGTGAACTGTGGGCTCAGTCACTCTTACTCCTCGAGTGTCTTTAAGGTTATTTCTGGCTTGAACAGCAGGTAACCGCGACTTTCTGAAAACTCGAAGTTGTAAAAAACGGTCATCCCGTCGCGAAGTACGCCTTTTTCTGACTTGAACCCTCCTCCTAACGACAGAAATGATCAATCTGTACCGTTGGTTACTGCCATGGGTGGTCGATACTGATCAACGACGTCTTACGGCAGCCGATTTGTATGCATGGCCGTTACTTCTCATTTCATCTGCCTTAATGATTTCTGACGGTGCTAAGCTGGGCATAATAAACCCTTATAAGTAACTGAATGCTTACACAACAAAATTCTCAGAAAAAAACATCTTTCACGTAAAAGAAATCCAAATTAGCAAAAGCTTCATTCAATTCAAAACACTCAACGAAACTGTTGATGGGGTAATTTAAACAAAATAATTAAAAAAATATACTGTTGGCAATTATTTTTTTCATATTTAGAATTAAATTAAAAAATAATGTCATAATTAGGCATTTTTTTCCTAAAATAATGATGATATTGATGCTTTTTTTTCCGTTCCTCTAAATCTGCCGGTGTGTGTAGTTGACATACAGATACAGAATATAGTCCATAAACAATAGGCACCCGGCACAGCGGAGTATCGAGCCGTGCTCAGTATAATTAGCTGCATTCAGCGCCGCCCGGTTAACCGGAGTGAACAAACAACACAGCATACTATTGTATGCATAGTTCATGAGGCGAGCATTAAATAGAAAAGAGAAGCGAGGGTTCTGAAACGGTTTATATGTAAAGATAGGTACAGCTTTAGGTAAAATAATGGTCGAAGTAAAATTTATTCAGAATTATGCAATAGAAAAAGTGTATGTAGTGGTATGTGGTCATGTAAAAAAAATCTGTTTTCAAAGTTAAATATTTAAGGAATTAAAGATACAGTTGCTTAGAATAAGAATCTTTACAGTTTTACAGTGTTTATCATTTCATAATATAAATTACTTATACATATAATTATTAATTTACAATACAATAAAAAGTCTATTAATTAATTTATCAAATATGCATATTTGCGCAACTTGGCCCTTATTTTTACCGTGCTTACAGTATTTTGCAAATTAATTTAAAAATTTGATGTTTCTAGCTACCGTTCAAGTGATCTACCCGTACGACTTGAAGAAGAAGAAGGGTAACATGCACATGATCCTGGGGGAAGAGGGTCTGGACGTCATCCTGGACATCCCAGACTTGGAGGAGTTGAGATTGGGAACCCAGCAAGACAGTAAGTTGTAGGGATGTTATGGATATGTAGTTTCGGTTATGGATACGGTTACGGACATAGGAACAATATTATACCGGTTTCGGTTACGGTTACGGATATTTTTTTATTTCGGATATCCTAAAGTTTCGGTTACGGTTACGGATATCCATAACATTCCTGGTAAGTTGGCACAGTTTTACCCGACTGCGCGACGGAAAGAAGTGGTAATTTAAGAAGAGGTTGGTCCATAATACTAATTTGATATACGTGTACATTGGCAAGTACAAGTCGGTCTCTATATGTCGGTAGCTATGCTGAAAATATGATGCGTGTAGTGTAGGGTAGTTGTTCCTTTATAATTAGGTACTTAATTGGTGGAAAATCGCTACAGTGAACCTGTATTGTTCACCCTTTTGTTTATGATGATATTAATAGAGGGACATCTAGCTAGGACTAACTTTCTCTCTAAGTTGCGGTCTCTACAATTCATTTAGTCGATTGAAAATAAGGAAAAAGGCATCTGCTGCTCGCAGCAACTCTCAAAGATTTTTATTCGACAAACTAATACCTAACACATATCGTTACTTGATTAAAAGTTATTTCAATAACCGTCCGTGCTTTGACCTACCTATCTAATTAAATTCTAAAAGTTTTTTTTTTTTTTGCCAAGGCAGGTATTTGACCACAATCGCACCTGATGTTAAGTGGGAAGCAGTCTAGGATGGTACTACCTACATTGTTTACTACATAAACATCTTTGAGTAATAATTTTGTTCGCAGTCCAAGAGTACGAGCTGTCAGAGTGGGCGTATGAGCTGGTGCAGCACATCAACGCGGCGCAGGACTTCGCCCTGCCCTTCACCAGCAGGCTCCATACCTTTACTGCGAAGATCGCTCTTGAAAGGTACAAACACTGTGCAGTCCTTGCAGCAAACTTTCAAGAAGAGAGTGTTTTTACACCTTAAAGGCCGGCAACGCACTTGTGACGCCCTCGGACTGCGGGTGTCTATGGGCGACGGTAATCACTTACCATCAGGTGATCCGTCTGCCCGTTTGCCTCCCATAAAAAAGTCCGCGTTTCACCCCTATAGTACTCGGAACAATAGGATTTCACTATTGTGAAATGCCTTATAGACCTAGGGGAGTGTAGAGACTACGAGGCATCCACTGTTTAAATTATTTGTAGAATGTTTTTATAAAGTTAATTTCTCCATAATCCAGCGATCGACAAGAATCTAACTACCGTTCGTCGACTCGGAGGTTAGATGCCGACACATCACTTTAAGCCTATTTTTTTTAGAGAAAAAATATCCACTCCCTTGATATAATCTTAACGGGTGATACCACAGGCAGAAATTTCTAACCTAACCTACCCTTTGGTGTGAAAATGATGATTGTTGACTTACCTGCAAATAAAGAAAAGTTAGAATTAGTTAAGATGAAAAACATTCAGTGTAATGTAACGAGAGGTCCCGGGTTCGATTCCCGGCCGGCCAGAAATTGAAATGATGAATTTTGATTTCTGTGACGGGTCTGGGTGTTACTACGAGTATGTATTTATAATATGTATTTACAAAAAAAGTATTTAAGTAAGTAGGTATGTTTATATCCGTTATCTAGTGTCCAAAGTACAAGCTTTGCTTAGTTAGGGGCTAGAAGCGTAGTAAAATGTCCAAGGATATCTGGGGGCACGGCAGTGCCCCCACCAAGTCGAGCAAAAAAGCGGCACGGCCGTACCATCCTTTTCTCGAAGCAATTCAGGCCATTTTCGACCGCCTGTAACTTCGTTGTGGATAAAACTAGAAGGCTGAATTTTCATTAGCTATGCAGGCATTGTAAAGACACGGTATATTTAAAATTTCATTCAATTTGAACCAGTAGTTTAAGAATTATAACGGGTCAAAGTTACTTAATTTTGTCACTCACTGACTGACTCACTGACTCACCGATCATCAAAATTCTAAGGCACTTCTAGCAGACCTAGAAGCTTCAAATTTGGAATATAAGTAGTGTTTGGTGTATGAATCAAGGAAAAACTAAAATATTTGGGGGCACGGTAGTGCAACCGCCAAGTCGAGTAAAATTTTTCAATTTCGGTCCAGTTTTCTAGATACATAACTGCTGTCTACAAAATACAAAAAGAAATGAGATCCCATCAAAAACAATACTTGTCAAAAAAACCAAGTCTCGCAACTCAGTTGTTCTACGGTAAAAAGTTGTGAGATCCATGTAATACCAAGTCCAGGCCAGGAAATCTTTAACGTTTTACATAAATATATTGACTTGGCCATCGCATGAAAACACGTGTAAATTAAATTATTTAGTGCGATGGCCAAGTCAATAATTTATGTAAAACGTTAAAGATTTCCTGGCCTGGACTTGGTATTACATGGATCTCACAACTTTTTACCGTAGAACAACTGAGTTGCGAGACTTGTTTTTTTTGACAAGTATTGTTTTTGATGGGATTTATTTATTACTTACTAGCTTTCCGCCCGCGGCTTCGCCCGCGTGAAATTTTGTGTCACAGAAACACTTTATCGCGCGCGTCCCTGTTTCAAAAACCGGGATAAAAACTATCCTATGTCCTTTCCCGAGACTCAAGACATCAAAATCGGTTCAAGCGAGACAGACAGAGTTACCTTCGCATTTATAATATTAGTATAGATTAATGTAATAAAATGATTTGTTTTACAGATATCTTCTCCTGTACCCCGAAGAAGAGTACACAGACATACACTTCGCGTTTACCGACTCACCATTTTTCGATGTTACTGGTAGAAAATAAAGTTGAAAAATACAATTACCTTTCCTTTTACCTTTGTTATTTTCAAAGGTAATCTAATACTACGATATGGCAAATATTTCTGAGAAGATCACGTGCATTTATTAAAGAAAAACGTTAATTCATTTTAATAAAAAACAAAATACGTAGACCATTTTCAGGGCACTTATAAATACATACGAGTATACAGTCCCGAAATAGCATACCCTACTACCACTTTGGGACAACATATCGCTGAGAAGAAATGGCAGAAGAAACTGAGTCACATTAAATATTTTAAATTTAAATGAAACCGACAAAGTGACAATAGTCCAGTAGAATTAGCTTTTAAATCGGAAATAATTCCTACAAAAGATTTTATTGCTTTAATGGCTTCATTGGTTGCCCATTAAGACTCTCCTAAGTTTTCGACTTAGACGGAGTTGTGCTAAAGTGGTGGGGGCCCCCGAAAGGGGCGCTTTTTCGGTTTTCCAGTTATACCGCGTAAATGACTTACCCCATCGAAAAGTGGTCTTCCTGATGGTTGAAGGGCATTTAATTCTGCATTAAATAAGACCAAATTCATATGTTTTGAACAAACTGTTCTCGTNGCAAAAAAATCTTTTGTAGGAATTATTTCCGAATTAATCAATTTTTGTGTTTAATTCTACTGGCCTAAAAGTATAACTGATTATCAACTCTTACAATATTCATATCTCTCCCTAACTTAATCTTTGAGAGTCGCTCTTTATGTTTCTTAGATGCCTTTAATTTAATTACGTAACTCCTTGCTACCGGTGAAGATGGATGTCTGCCTAAGCACCCCTATTTATCGTCGTGGCCCAAATTGCCTATCAGAGCTCAAGTAATGGCAAGGGTTTCAGCGATTAGTTTCGGAAAATAATTAAAAAAGTCACTCCTGGACGATAATTTATCCAGGCGGCCTTCCTGCTGGCTGGTGTGCCACAGAGTTGCGTTTGCGTCTAAATTACCTGCGTCGCTTCCACCTTCGTTCGGCCTGATCAGCAGTTTCCATCAGGTGAGAATTTGTGAATTTAAAAAACGTTTTTACACTTAGTAGAGGATCTTAGGCGCTCAGTCAAAAAGTTTGTATCTTTTGAACATTGTATCTTTTACTTCTTGTAAAATACATTATTTAGTTACTTAATTTTTGTAATAATTTATAGTTCCTGTGACGTTGTAATGGTACATAAAAGTTACATTTTACCCGACCACACCAAAGGGTTATTGCTAATGCAATTAGCATCTTGTTTTGCGTGTTTCCAAGATATGTGTGTATATCTGTTATTTATGTTTAAAACAATGTAATCCACAAATCAATCCGTGCCATGTAAGCTGAAAGTCTGTGGCGTTCTAGGTCAGGGAGTCTAGTAAAAAATGGGGGGGGGTGGAAAAATGAGTAAGATTAATATGCGAAAATTAGCTGCCTTGGAAAACATAGGCGAAGGGCCTGCCCAGTTTGCAGAGCAAACTTTCAGATACCGCCTGTCATTTAATTTTGAACCTTACCGTTTATTGTTTAGGTCTAAAACAAAGTGAAGGTACAGCTGCTGATTGCATAGAGCCTTTGTGTAGGAGTCCCAGTTTAGTGAGGATGTTGGGAAGTGAATTTGCTTTTTGTTTGTATTTGGGAGCTGGAGCTTGCTACTTGCTAGACATACAAGCTTTAATTAAATCTAAACAAAGGAATGAATAAGTGTGTATGTGTACATTCCAATAAAAATAACAGATTTTTACTAAATGCAAATAAAGATACGGGACTATTCCCGCCTCTGGTTCCCAACGCTGCAACTCCTGTGTAGCCAGGATCTACAGCTTGAACGCCAATAAAAACCCCATCAGTGAAGATCAAGTTGTGAAAGATAAGTAAACGGTATTCGTAACAAAATAACTGCATTATTTTTTCTGTCTGTTCCAGCATAACTTTAAATGATTTGTCACACTGAATGCAGCCTGTGGTCGTCAAAGTGATAGACTCTATGAATGCAGCCCGCATAATGTATGATAACTTTGAACTGACCGCAGTGTGGCAAATCCTTAAAATTGCTTTACTGATTTTGACAGGACTTTCATTGGTAGTCTACTAACTTGGTAAGGTATATTATGTAACGAAGACTTTCAATGGGTCCTTTTATTTAAGGAAAAGAACTAGCTTCGCGAATAAAATCTAACACCCGTATTCACAAACGATGCTTGCTTAAGAGAAGCCGCAAATCGAACGCACAGCGTTGAATAGAGCTCTGTGATTGGTTCATGTGTCACCCTGTGCGTCCACGCGCACTGTGAGACCTCATAGTAATGTTTGTGAATACGGGCGTAAGAGTAAACTGTAGAAAACAAAAATTACTAAAATCTTTTTTTATTAGGGTTTGTTTGTTCACACAGTTGTTTGAATATTTTTATATCCCCCATAACAACCCGTAGTGTTGTCACCATTTTATCATTTTTATTCTCCTGTCTCAAACTAAGCGCTACAAATGTGTTCCGCTTGAAATATGGCAGATTTATTCACAATCCCACATGAAAAACAGGAAGATGTGAGAAAAGGTGCAAATTAAACTTACTGTGGGTATTTGTAGAATATATGGCCCAGCATTTTGACGGCAGTTATTTTATTTAAAAGAACTACAAGATGTATGTGACAGTTTTAAAACAAACACGTATTTATTCTACATTTTACAGTGACGAGTAGCTAAAGAAGCTATAACAAGAACAACCTGTACCGCAAAAAACCGTACCTGCAAAAAACCCTTTATTCGCATAATATCAGATTCTCAAAATATCAGATTCTTAAAATATTAGATTATCAAAATAGCAGAATCTCAATATAACCGAAATTGGACATTCAACGTGAAAAATATATTTGTATTACCTATGCAGGGTGTCCAGAAAGTAGAGGTCAAGCCGAAATGAACATGATATCTACTTTAAATAAATATGAAGAATGCTAATTTATGCACAGTATACAGGGTGTTTGGCGGAAAACTGTTCATAAAAAATGTTTCATAATGTTTCATCATCTCTGTAAACAGTTTATAAACAGTCCATAAACATAGGTGATGAAACATTGTTTATGATACATGTTGCCGTACTCCCCGCTATGAGTGGAGAGCAAGTGTGGACGGTCAAGTTTCAGAAACCTGTGTTTATGGTAAACTTGTTTCACACAAGTCATAAACAGTTTATCAACAAATGTTGCCTAGTGAATACATAGCTTTAGGGTCAAATGGGCAAACTTGTATAGATGACCCAAGCTGAACTGTCCCACCAAACTCAATGACAGGGGGGCGCTACCATCGTTCAACTATATGGTTTCCAACATGGCAAAAATCGGAATCAGCGATCCGGTATTGACGGTGGCGCCCCACTGTCAATGTCATGGATAGGACAGTTCAGTATTTTGGAACTTGCCGCTGGATATAATTTTAAATCTATGGTAATCTTTTTTGTTTTCAATAAGTGTTTGTCTCATATTCAAAAATAAATTTTATTTAAAAAATAAATGTTGTCTTGATTGTACTTTGGCTATATTGAGAATCTGCTATTTTGATAATCTGATATTTTAAGAATCTGATATTTTGAGAATCTGATATTATGCGAATAAAGGCAAAAAACGGGATACTGTACTGTCGTGTGAACACGAGTCCGCCGTGCGCCAAGAAACACATTGCTGGGGGACAGGGCCCTATAGTACCTATGACACTTATGCCCGTTTTCACCATCAATCTCTAATTTTTAAGTGACCCCTATAAAAACAAAATTCCTGTTATTTGTTACCATAAGGTCACTTAACAATTAGGGATTGATGGTGAAAACTTACTTGCTTACTGACTTAGGTTCAAAAAACATACAGTTATACTATCAATGGTTCAGCCATCACAAATCACAATGGCCGGCAAACATCTGCTCCGGTTCCCGGGCCCGGGAACGTTCTGCTGATCTTGAGGCTATCCGAAGATAGTCATACAATTCTACGTAGAATCTGCTCAAAGCTCAGCAGCCACAGGAGACAAAGTTACCATAGCTCCAAATTCCGTGACATTAAGTGTCAGAACGCGTGGGACGTCCACCCACAGGGTGGACCGACGACATCATAAAGGTAGCAGGAAAGCGCTGGATGTAGGCCGCTACCAACCGGTAACATGGAAAGCATTGGGGGAGGCCTATGTTCAGCAGTGGACGTCCTATGGCTGAGATGATGATGATGATGATGAAGTGTCAGAACTTACTAGTTCGACTCATAGCTAACGTCCCGCCCCGTCCCGATCAGTCTTCCGGGAGCGGTCGCAGCAAGCGCGTAGTTGCAATTTTAAAATACTAGTTTTCCGCGCGCGGCTTCGCCCGCGTGGAATTTTGTCTGTCACATAAAAACTATCGCGCGCGTCCCTGTTTCAAGAACCGGGATAACACTATCCTTTGTCCTTTCCCGGGACTCAAACTATCTCTATGCCAAATTAATTTCATCAAAATCGGTTCAGTGGTTTAGGAGTGAAAGCAAGACAGACAGACAGAATTAGTTTCGCATTTATAATATTAGTATACAGAAACATCGGCGCCGGTGGAGGAGAGTAAAATATTTTCAGGCTTGCCCTCAAATGGGTTATTTTTTTTTATCCACAACGAGGAAGCTCTTAATTATTATTGTTTTCTTTAAAAAACAGTGCAAAAGTGGAGTGACTATGCAAAACTACATTGTGTTATAACAATATAATCTATGTTATACTAATCTCTTCGGACGAAGTACTTCGTATAATTATGATTGAACTTCACGTAATTGAACTTCAAGTTCTTTTAATCATTAATTATCTTTAAAATCTCATAGTTTCCTTCTTAGAAGACCCTAAAAAAACTGATGAATTGGGTGTCAAGAAATATTTGTTGCTGACTGTACCTGATATTCAAACACCCTGTATAAAAATATTACACTCCACATGTACCTATTAGGGGGCAGAGCAAAGACTTATAACCGCTGGTTCAGTGGTCGAAAAGGCGAGAGAAAAATAAAAGTGAACGCT